TAGCACGCTGTTACAACTTGAGCGATTAGTAGAATCTGACTAATGGTAACCAGTCCTTTACACAGGGACAACTTTCCCATAGTAAGACTGTGACGAAGGACGTCATTTCTATAAATCTCTTGAAGGTGCTAGTCGTATTTAAAATTGTAGAAGAGGTAGAAAGGTTTCGAAGGGCTGCGGCCTGAGTCCTAGTGAAGGACCAAAAGTGGAAGGGGGAAAGGTGTACGTTGCAGTTCTCCTCCTCAGGTCAGATCAGCTAAAATTGAGACACCACTCATTTGCTCGAAGCAAGCTTGGACTAAGCCTAGGCCCAATCATAGGCTTAAGCATAAGCCAATGTGTAAGCATAAGCCTAACCTAACTAAGCTCAACCCAAGCTTAACTTCGGGATCTAATGACCGCGCAGCTCTGGTGACCTGACCCCTAGAGAGAACTGAACGTCTCAGGGGAAAAAGACCCTTATGTTTTCTCAAATTTCCCCATGTTCAACGCTGCCCTCACACCTCTCGAAACTAATCAGTTGGTACTAGATTTGCCTGGATAAGTATGCGCACTTGCAGCGGTATCGCTGATCCTAGTCAGTGATTATGTTTGATAAGGAGACAATCAAATGAATACCAACCGTAACGGCAGTTGGACGCATGGCGAATCCCATGGATTTTCATGGATCGCCAACTACGTCGTTTGTAACTCTTGAATGTGATTTATCTGTACAATTTTTGCCCATTTCATCAGGTTCTGCTATTTTCGAACTCTGACTGATGCAGTTCAAATAAAGACTAAATGGTGCGTTCGGCTCCGAAATGTACTTGGAAAAGGATTCGTTGATGTTTGCGTTGGTTATCAAATCAGGATGAATGATCTCGTGGCCGTATTGATCCTTTTAATCCAGATGGTTTCTGGTAAGAGGTGTCAGAAAAGTTACCACAGGGATAACTGGCTTGTGGCAGCCAAGCGTCCATAGCAACGTTGCTTTTTGATCCTTCGATGTTTGATAACTGTTAAGCTTGGTCAGATACACATAAATTTGATAATTTTCCTACAGTAGTCAAAGCGGTCTTGTGTGAGAATTTCTTATCGAAGTCGCGGAATCTGACGTTGTCACCTTCTGCACCTTCTCAACCATTGTTTTACTTCTCTGTCGTGCGCGTATTGTTCTCAGTGCTTTCGTGGTTCTTTGCCAGTGCATCACGTCGAGTTTTCTCTATTACACTCTTCATTGGCGCACCTCCACCTTGACTGATGTGTGTTGTTCGTTTCGACACCGATCGAAATATTTTTAGTCGTCCGTCGTGAGCGATTGTCTAGACATTACGCCTGCTGGCAGCTAAGGTTCATACTTTTACTCTAGCTCTTCCATGTCCTTTTCCCAATCTTTGCGGTTTGTCGTAGCCTGGACTCATGCGCTGACGTCTGCGGGCGACATATTTCATTATCGCTCTCTCGTGTTCTCTCTCAATTTTCGAGTTGAGCTTTTTTGTGAGGAATTTTGGCAGCTGTCGGGCTTCCCACTTATGTTCGCTCACCATTTGAGTAACAATTCCCCTTCTTTACAAAAGAAACATAATGAAAATCAGATAATATAATTAGCGGGAAAGCACCGGATGTAGCTCCTCTTCTGAGTGAGCTTTCAACGATTTTTTTGCTCGCCTGCTAAATCGATTAGATTTTTTAGGAGATCTCTATTTCTCACTTTTTCTGCTGGCGGTAGTTCCACCCCCCCCCGGCGGGCCTGTTCCATATCTGAATCGAATCGTCCTACTGTTACTTACAGTTATCACTCTATATATAACACTAAGTTTGGCTGATGTTTATCCCTCTATCTGTTGTTATTACATGTGTCATTTGAATTAATGAACTAACCACCCAAAAAAATAAAAAACAAAAAAAAAACTGGCAGCAGTAGCTTCCAGTCGAAGAATTTCATTGTCAAATTGATGAACTCGTGGCGCATCCCAATATATGTGAGCAATGTTCAGCACTTCCTCAATTCTTTTGAACCCATGAGTGACTTGTTCATTACCGAGCCTACACCTCATATACATATGTCTCCCTTTCTTTTTCCTTTACTTCCTTACCTCTTTGTTTCATTATTTCTCTTTTTCGTGGATTTTCATCTGTCACTAAAAGTGTGTGGAATCTGTCATTTGCAGCCCTTCACAGTGTCTGTCATTTTCACGGCATATTCTTCTGACGGCTTCCGCTTTTGAGAGATAAATCATGCCCTTTTTCAAACCTACGGTGCATTCCTCTAGCGAATGGTGAATTTTATCGCTGTACTTCGTAAAAGCCCCCACTATAATGCAGTAAAATGGCGAAGCTATCGCAGCAGCTGCAGGCGCTGCTTTGCTTGCAAACACTGCAGAAGCCATTCCGCCTGGCAATGAACCTATAAAGCACCAAGCAGCGTAGATCTAATTCGTGGGGTAACGGCGGTCGATAATGAGCCTGTGGATGCCAAATCACTGATAGGAAGAGGAATCAAAGCAAGTCGCCAATGAAGCCATTGCACAAGTATCCCCTTTCTTCCCTCTTGAAATTAGGGAGGGGCGTGCACCGGACGAGTTGTCTAGATGCCCTGCCTCCATGGCTCTACTACACCGATGTAGATGTGTTCGGCCGCTAATGTTCTGTATCGACGTTGCGTGTCATGCGCTCTGCACGAGGCTTTTTATAAGGCTCTGGCGAGACTGTGGCGCACTTCCGAGCCGCAGCGACGGATGAAGCAAATTTGAACTCACACACAGTTTTTCTAATGCGTCCAGCAATGCCAACCATTGAACCCTTAATCCTTTACATTAAAATTTAGCGAAGCACGAATAGCAGCAGTTGAGCAGTCCAACCTCAAAGGAATCTTGCGCGGAAAATTCTTGCACTCTTTCCTAACATAAATATGTCAGTTGTGACACTGGAATACAGAGTGTGTTCACGCATTTTTTTTTTTGGGAAGGGGAATTTCGTTTTTGAGAGAAACAAACGCCCACAAAACTCACAAACGTTGATGGGACCATCGAAGGACAGGAAAGCAGAAGCAGGCCGATTTTCATGGAAAGAAGACGGCGTGCCCGTATGCTCGGTGCAGACGGACTGCTGAGTTATGGACCATCGAAGGCCACGAGGCACCGGAAGGGGTCCGCGTTTGGCCGGCTACGTACCAGGCGACGCAATGAGAGAATCGGGTTAAAGCGCGCGATTTCGGAGAGTGGAGACAAATCGATCGATGGAATAGGATGGAGTAGAAGTGTAAGATGTGAATGCAACGAAGCAGAAGGCCAGAAAGAGCTTCTAGTGAATGCACTCCAAGAACCAAGTTTGAGCATCCCCGTCGCCAGCATTCGTGAAAGACGTCCGTGGGCAATTCGAACGCGTAGCAGCCTTTTCGAGTTCGAATTTCTAATCAAAACGAAAGCAATACTTCAGTTCTTTTCACTATTATCGTGGATAATGAGTCTCAAGCCAGTGATTTATGGCTGAAATAGAATCATGATTTTTCCGCGCAAGATTCCTTTAACTAAGGGACTCCAGTAAACCTCTTAAAGCGCAGCCGTATTTTCGTGAAAATTGCCTGGGTGTTGGGTTTTGGTGTGGCCAGTTTTTCGCATTTTTACCCTTCAAATGGCTCAGAAGACAACATAAGAAATGAAATGGAAGTAGGGATCTTTTCTTTGGCTGTCAGTGAGTTGTACAACCAAAGAAACGTTCTCTACTGTTTTCCTTTACACCGAGTTTCCACTTTATCTGTTTACTAATCTTGTCCTCTTCAACCAGTTTTCTTCACAGGTTATTTGTCTCAACTAATCTTTGTCTCAACTACTAGTCTCTACTCAAGACAACCCCGTGTACTTGTGTGATCGGTGAAGTACCAAAAATGTTTTGTTGAACAGGTTTCTCCGCCACCCGAACGTACCCTAAAATTGATCATTTCTCTGTGCTTCTCAGTTCGGTGCCGCGCTTCTTTTTGATGAACCACGGTCGTGTTTGCCAGGAGTCACGTCATTCTAGCTATTCACTCCTGCTTTATTCAGAATACTAGTAGTAGATGTGTCTCCAGTACAGTATCAATTCGTACAGATTCAATTGTGACGTAGCGGGGAGAGCCCAGTGCTATTAGAGACGCGATTCATGGTTGATTTCGTTCGGTCTAGCCAAGCTTTCTACCTCGTCCGGGTTGACCTTTTCGTATGGGATTCGTTGCGGGGTTTACAAACGCTGACAGATCGGAACCTGGTCCTAATTATGGCATGAAATTGCTATTTGCTGCAGTACATTGCCCTAGATGCAGTTACTTGAAAGCGCACCCCAAAATGAGTTCGATCGACCTCAGGTCCGATGATACCGATGTCAGTAGAATAGGGCCGCCCACAGAAATCACAAGTGTCCCCGACTCCCGGTGCAAAAGTGCGCGACAAGGGCGTTGCTTTTTAGATAGCTAACTCATCTATCTTTCCTCATTCTCAACGTGAGGGTGTCTGCGCCCTCACATCGATCGTGTTCTCTCACTTCCTCTCTCTCCTTTGCACCCATTGTCTCATTTTCTGAGAATACTGAATTGCAAAAGTGAGTAAGCACTCATGTTCAGCTTTTTCCGGACGGACTCTTTCCCTTTTTCCTTGATACCGATTCACTGATTACTGGCTTTCGTACTTTCATCCCATGCGCTAGAATCACGCCAGTCACGTCGAGGGGTATGTCTTTAAGTTCGTCTGCAACCATGAAGGAAATCTATTGGTGGCGCATTTTAAAGGGAATGATATATGTTGAGCTCCCAATCATCTACCCTTCATATTTATCCTTACCTAGATTTTTGCAATACGTGAAATTAAAAGCCAAGTGATGTGGTCAGTAGTACAGCTAAACAATTACCAGTTCCTAGCTGGAATAATAAATTTCTGTATTTTTGCGATACTGTATTTTTGCAACCCACATTCATTCTGCACCGCTGTGCAGGCTCGAGCTATATTTTGTTCTGTTCATTCAAACTCATCTGCGTGTTTTCAGTGATGGACGACGAGCCGACGTCGTCGCATCGACCGGGCGACTCGGCGGCATCGCGTCGCATGTGCGGGTCGGCTGACTCGACGGCGAGCGACAGCGACACGGCCGACGATGCTCCTCTCTTGGCCAGCGGCAGCCAAACGGTCCGAATCGACATGCCCGCTTCGGAAAAGCCAGCGTCACCTCATGAACGCTCAAAAGCGCTGGTGAGTGATCAGTTTCTTCCAGTGATCTAACCATTTTCTTCTTGCTTCATATGTAAGTCGTAAATATTTTTTTCATCTTATATTTTATGTACTCCCTAAAAATTAAATGATTCAGAATTCTTTTTTGTTCAGATTAAGATAAATAACTCCAGAATGAATCATTCTCTCGCACCTTCAGTTTCGAAGAGCGTCTCATTGATATTTATTTACTTATTTATATAGTTTTTTGAACCAATTCGCTTGAATCTGCCCTATGTACCTTATTTGAGTGAGATCACCACATTAATTCAATCTTGAACCTTGCCTTGAGGTTGAAAGCTTGCTCATTTTCCTTAATGCAGCTGCGCAATGGCAGTGAGAAACTGGGCGCGGAGAGGGAGTATGAGACGAAAGAAGGAAACGGATGAGAGGGTGCCAGTCACAGCCTGAGACGGACGGGGAAAATTGAAGCTGTTGAAGCTATCTTTGCAAGGCCTTAGCGCTCTTCTCGGCCAATTTTTCATGCACGGAAGTGCCACATCTGTGATTGCCCTCTAGGAGTCTTACCTACAGACCCAAAGGAGCCGTTTGTACGGGTTCATGCCTGATCATGGATCGTCAGGCCTGAGCATCAGCGGTCACAAGTTCAGCAACCATCCGGGGAGCCTTTTGTAGTCCGACTGCCCAATTGTGTGTGCTACTGTACTTCATCTTCAAGCGCCTGCTAAAGTAGGCTGACCAGCGAAAACCAGGTAGTGTTAGGCAGATTTCTCATTCTGCTATTTCCGACAAATTTATATTGTATTTCTCAAAAAGACCCGACTATTAGTTTGATCGAAGAAGCAAAAAAGGAAAAAAGGAATTTTTTTTAATGTTCGAAGAGGGATCAAATACATCCACATTGCCACTTCTACGCGATAAATTTTTCAGAAAGTTTAGCATTTATTTTTGATATTTTTCATTATAAATGAAAATATATAGAAAAATCAAATAGTTGATAATAAAACCTCTCACATCTCAGGGCATGTCTGAACGTTCTCTCTATCGCTTTACGATACCAACTATTGATTCGATTTCAATCGATTCTTCCCTATTTCAGCTCTCATTTATACTGCTGGCTTTCGCCGCTGTGCTGAACGAGATTGTGTTGTCATTCGTCCATGAGCGTGTGCCCGAAACGCCTCCACTGCCCGATATAACATTTTCGTTGATACCGTACTACAAGGACGGTCTAAAAATCTGCGAATATATCATGCTGGCTTCGTTCGCCTCCGTTCTGCTTTTGATGCTCTTCCATCGGTAAGTTATACTTCCAGTTGCTCGCCATTTATGCGGAGACTGTCGCATAGCATCTGGCAGTCTCCATACGCACGCCAGGTTGGCTGGCTATTGGCCCGTACTAAAAACCACCATACTTTTTCTTCTACCCGTTAATTACTTTCAATGTAGAAAAAGTTTCGAGGTCCGCAATCCTCCAAGCCGCTTTAAAGGTACACGCGTTTTTGCTCTTGGAGAAGGATTATGCGAAGGTCGAAGGGAAAGCGGGAACAGTAGGTGCTTCTATCCGATAAGAAGCATGTAATAATGTCAAAAAATCGAAAGAAGGGGAACCTACCTTTCAGTAAGGGCAAGGCGCGACTCTTTAAGGTAGCGGTTTTCACTGACTTCGTGGCGAAGGATATGCCCTTGGCCGAGTCTAGCTTGCACGCGCGCGCTATCGGCGCGTACGCCCGTCCTCGCTTTCTGAGCTGACAACCGTTAAACAAAGAGGGCCACGTCTGGTAGCTGCCATCAGTACGGGAAATCAAAGGGCGAAGAAAAGGGTCTTCATTTGTCGGCGTCTTAAGGCCGTTTCCTAAATTTATTCTTTCAACCAGCACTGTCTGACCACTTCTACCTAATTTCAAGTGGGCGTTACGAATATAATCCTGTTAGGCCGATGTCATAGTTTGCGAATCGAGCGATTCGCTAGCGAATCGCTGGATCCGAGCGTTGCGCCAGCGAATCGAACGTTGCACCAGCGAATCGAACTTTGCGCCAGCGAGTCGAACTAGGTACCAGCGACTCAATAGTGGCGGGACCCAACGTTAAAGGAAGCCCGCCACTTTCAAACAGTGTCACGTGACAGTGGACGCTGTTTGAAAGTGGCGGGACTTTGCAGTGGACACTGTTTGAAAGTGGCGGGCTTCCTTTAAACGTTGGGTCCCGCCACTATTGAGTCGCTGGTACCTAGTTCGACTCGCTGGCGCAAAGTTCGATTCGCTGGCGCAACGCTCGGATCCAGCGATTCGCAAACTATGACATCGGCCTTAGGTCACTTGGCAGTCGCTCGTTGGCATCTCGCCAGTGTTTTCGCTTTTCTGAATTATTCACTGACGCCGCTAAGATTAGAACCTGGTTTTCACAACCTTAATGTTTCTTATAAAGAAGTAGACACCTTGCAGTGTGTCGTAGCTGTAACGTTCACTGGAGGGGTTAAAGATTTGTCATAAAGCGAAATACATCTCAGAGCGAATGCGCCTTATATGTAAGCTTAGTACTAAGGTTTTTGTGAACGATGCTTCATTGTTTATCCTTTTTGATGCTGAAAGCGTGTATACCTGCACATCTCCTAACTATCAGTTTGCACTATTCCTGATTGTGCGCCAGTATTTACAAGCGTGGTTCGATACGGTTCTGCGTGAGCGATCGATTGACGAGGCCAGGATAACGGGCTCCCAGACAATACCTAACCATTTGGGCGCGGCCGCGGCGAACGCGGCCGAGTTGATAGGTGCCCGCGAACTCAGCACAGCACAGTTCGCGGGCACCTCGAGTGCGTTTTCAACGGTTCGCGGGCACAATCGACTCGGCCGCGTTCGCCGCGGCCGCGCCCAAATGGTTAGGTATTGTCTGGGAGCCTCGATAAGGCCATCGAGAACCATAATTTTCCAGGCATCGATGCGTGGATCATGTTCCGGCGATTAATGATGGTGGGCTCATTGCTATATTTGATGCGTTGCGTTACCATGATCGTTACACCAAGGGTCCCGGCCGAGCCGAATTTCCTTTGTGCCCACCACAATAGGTGTGAGTTTTTCTCATTTAGAGACAGAGTTGTGACACGAATGGAAGTTGAAGGAAGGGTCAATTCCATCCGCAGTCGGAGAAAGGCATTGTCCTGCTGACAGTCACGGGACTGGCGTGCCGTTTCGCATGCGGAGGAAGCGCTCGTGGGCCTAACAGAACTTTACCCGCGGCACTGTACTACGCCTCGAGGCTAAGCTTGCGTCGATTAGACCCCGGTTGCGGATCGCCTCGCTATCTCGGTCCTAGCCGTTTTAGTGGCGGAAAATCAGAGCCAGAGCGTTAAGGTGTGACGTTCAAACCACTAGGAACCCGCCTAATTGTGGGGATCAGAGGCAATTTCCCGAGCTTTTTCCTCATATGCTGTACCTCTGGCGCCCTTTACCTCTAAAACTTGTCAATTAAGAACATTAGCCATTCGAAATAGCCGATAGCGCCACTTTGTACTACCGGAAACCAAGGTCTCTTCGGATAAGCTGACCCTTGCATCCTTCCACCCCTTAGTACTTGTTACCACGCTAACCTGATTGAAAAGAAGCGCTAACAACCCCATCTTCTCTGGGTTCCACAGGCCATGGAGGTGCAAAGAGCCAAAAAGGCATATGAGATGCCTTTATTTCTTTCAATGAAAGCTCGACCTCGCGGTGATCGTTCGCCCGAACAAACATGATCAGTTGAGCAGGAAGATCGACCTTCAAGTCTTTTGCTCTAAAAAGGTCGCGCTTTGCTGAACGCGCTGCACTGTAGTCGTCTAATGCCGAAATATAGACAATTGCCTAAACGTACCGTTTTATGCTTCGCGCGGGCGACCAGTGCAATTTCTCTCTCCTACGATAGCTTGGGACTTCAAAGAAAAAAATTACTAATAGAGTGGGTTTTCACGAAATCCAATAGGTACTTGACAGCTTGTGTTTTTTAAATTTCACAATAATGTCGAAAATTGAGGCCGAGCCAGTGGGGAAAAAAGGCGTTCTTTGCATCATTTAACTCACCATTTGCGACGCTATTCCGTATATACTGAATCAAAAAATGTCAAAATTATTTGAAATACGTTCCAGAATTCAAGGCATTACCATTTCAATTATTTCGTTTATAATGGCATTCTTTCTTAATAGGTATAGGTGCGGGTTCGATTATTCTAGGGCGAATGCTTTGCTCATAACTTAGCATCCTAGTGAAAAATTCGCATCGCGAACTGTGACTTTCGAACAGCAGTAAACAAAAAAAAAAACAAAACAAGTCAGAGCAAAGCATTTGCGGGTCCTCCAAAAGGTTTTGGTTTTAGGCGGCAATAGCAAGTGCTTTAGCCAAAAATCACTTATGAAACGCGATGAACGCATGCGGGACAGCCAATCTACTAAAGAGGGATGGATAGTGAGAGGAGCTGATGATATTTGCCGTCTTCTCTAATCCCCGCTAATCCGTATTGATGAAAGGTGGCAACATTTAGATTCGCCTTCACCACATCCAGGGTCTTCCTGGAACAACGACGCTACCACCACCGTCGAAGACGGGGTGATGCCACCACGAACTGCCTGAGCCGCCGTCCTTATCGTCGTCTCAATTCCATCTACACAAATGGTGCTTACGCCGGAGCAGTTCTCTCGACTCAGCGAATATGCATCGTGTAAGCATTTCTTTCATTTTTAAGTCATATTCATTTTTCTCGAGAAAATAGGACAAACTCGTGAGATGGAAAAAATTCGACAACATTAGGTCAAATACTTCGTATAGCATACATTATACGAAGTGCAGTTCCAAGTTTGAGTTTCTCCCTCAACACTACTCGTAGGCGAAGTAGGACACAAGCGTCATCGTATGCCACTCCGAGTTCTTCGCTTCAAGTTTCAGAAAGGTAGTTTCCTTCATCTCGTCTTGACCTGCATCATAGAAAGCAGTTACGGGGGCAAGAAGAACATTAGCCGGCATGTTTTGTGTTTTGGGGCTTTTTAAGACATTAAATATTTGGCGATTAAGATAATTTAGTCCAGCGAATTATTGACGATGTATGGGAGTGAGTGGGTCCATCTAGTAGAGAGGTGTGAGGCCATATGCAAACCTTTTGTTCTTCCTCCACAAAAAATACACTAGAGAAAAGCTACAGTCCTTTGGTAGTTGGTCGAAGTTCCAAAGTTATTCAGGAGCTCGACGGAAAATGCGGAGAGGAAGCTCGAGAAAGTTCTGGAAAGGTGGGAAAGCAACTTCAAATAGAACCATATCAGGCAACTTGGATTCGACCACATAAACATAGACATTCTGACCTCTTGAAGAAATCTGAAGGTTCGATTCGTGGGCACCGCATCAACTTTCTCACCTCATTTTTTGCGTGCGTAGAGCAATTATGACTCTATTCGTATTAAGCGACTTCGATAGGAAACCAAGCCCCATCCTTTAATTGGCGGACTTATCGTTTTTTGATTACCGTTTTTCCCTAGCTTGGAAAATCATACGAACGGGAAAACAAGTTAGTTTGTGGACGAGAACTGTGCGATAGTAGAAAACTACCTTTTAAATTCTAGACGTAATAACTTCGTATAGCATACATTATACGAAGTTATTTCAGTAGGAAGGCCTAATAGTGCAGATCTTGACGAGTTGATTAATGTACCATATTTGGATGACGTGGCATTTGCGTAAAATACTTTTGAAAAATGATAGCGCGGCAAATGGGGTGCTTATGGGGCTGACGTAGTACTTGGGCAGACTCAATGCTCCCTAAGCATAATATTAAGCCAGAAGCGACGCGTTTAAAGATGCCTGGCCACATTCGGGCTAACCCGTCCATCCGTACACTGTCCTAAAATTTCATTACAGTTTTCAGGCCATAGACGGCGTTGTGAACGCTCGCAAGGTTGAGCCAAGGTGGAGCAGCCTTTCGAGAAACTTCAATATCCATGTGAGAGTTGAGTGAGCATTGCGTCCCACGAAAGCTACTCAACGACGTGACATTATTTTTTTTCTTCTGCAATTTCTTTGATGCCCTGTTCTGGCTATTCCTGCTCAAGCTTGCCTTCAAAAGGTTTACTATCAGAAATTGAAGTTATTAAAGGATAAAGGATAAAGCATTTGCCGTTGATCAATCCCTTTTTGGGATGCGGCACGCATTCTACTTCCATTTGTACATTCGCAGTGGCGTTTGAATGCGATGTGGCCTATACAATGACTTGCGGGGCCAGCCGATGTACAAGTCAGTGTTTTTTAGTCTGGTACCAATTAACCGACCCCGGAGGGATGGAAGGCTTGGTTGGCCCGGGCGACTCACGACCCAGGATTTGATCCCCGGACCGCTCGCGTGGTAAGCGCGCCACTTGCCACTACACCACTTCCGCCCCTTTATAATGGAATTATTTCTGTGAAGCAGGATGTTTCGCTGTGATGTCATACGAGTATAAGCGAATCCGTTAGATGCGATCTTTATTGCCCTTGTTTCAACGACGCCCTCGTCGTCCGCACAGGTCTTAACATAGCTCAAAGTCTTATAATTGTTCTTTGCCCGGAAGAGCACTTTCTCAAGAACTCGAGTCGCCAGTTTAAGAATCTGTCTCGAGTCGTCAATTTAAAAATTTGTCTCGAGTCAGTTTAAAAATCTGTACAGAATACCCTTGACAAAACATAGGAAGCTGTTGACAATAAGTTGTACAGTCATTTCGGATGGTATAAAGATAATCTGACTGGCATACAACTCACTCGATGCGAAAATAGGGTGAAATTCCAGAAGACCTTTTATCTCGCCTCTAAATTTATGCCATGAAGCGACTGGAAGCGTTACGCGTCACATCCCTTGAGAAGGATAAACCTAATCTAGTGACTTATGGATTAGGCCAAGAAATCCTGCTGGCTTTGTCCTAACAAACGGGTGCCATCTTTTTTAGAGTATTGCTAAAGTTGTAAAACAGAACATTTCCCTCATAATACGCCTACAACTGTCTCAAGCGTAGCTTCCGACCTTTTGAAGAAGATCTGATAGCTGTTATTTTTGCTTATTCAAAAATTGGAAGTACACGCTTTTGATTGCAAACAACTGTAAGTATTTATGAAATTATGGACCTACTATTTATTAGTGAGAGAGGAGGTAGAAGCGCAGTAGTCTGCAATGGGTAGAAGAAGTAAAACACTGTACAACTACCTAAAGCAACAACCCCAGGCCAATTTGATGGGGTGTTAATGAAAGTGTGGATGCAGAACTACTGTCCGAAAACACAAAGTGAAGCGATGCACACTGCCGATGAAGCTCTTAACAAGGACTGCCTTTTTTCCCTTCCAAAATGAAGGACTGGTCCGGACGAGTTTTCTGAACTTGCTTGCTCCACGGCTTATTACCCTGTGCGTATTCGAATTTGTAAAAAAAAATATTGCGCCGTAGTCCACGTTGTGTATCATGGGGTGTGCGCGAAGTATCTCGTCCATTAGCTCACATTAGTTGTCATTAGCTCACTATGTGAGGCTCTAACGCCACTATCGCTATCGCGCACTTTCAAGCCACGACAACCTCTATCCTCCTGCCCTTAAAATAGGTTGTTCCAACGACCTAATTTGGGGTTGCTGCTTCAGAGGAGAATTCCACGATAATTATGAAGGTCGACGAAGGTGGGATACTAGTGGAGCAACAGGCGGACTTCTTAGGGATGCGAACTCGCAATCTCCATCGAAAGATATATTCTCGGCGATCTAGCATGGCCTTCCCCGCGGCGCATCTGGGCGTACCATTGGCGCGATACGCCCCTCTCGTGTCTGGATATCCAGCCGTCTAGCAGAGAGAGCGTCAGCGTTGAAGAGGACAGCACAGATGAGAGTCGCATCAATGTGGAAATCAAGGGAGAAGGAAGAGGATTCCATTCCATACATAGGCCGTTTTTCGCGGCTTTCCTTCTCCCTTGCATCACTAACCATCATTGTTTTGGATTTCCAAGGTGCAGCTTTTCGTCGTAAAATCCACCTTTGAGTGAGCCTATTCCAAACCTCAATGAATTGATCAATTCATTATAGCCACCTCCATGTAAT